CTCGTCCTGTGAATGAACATTCTGCCGTACAGTATTGGACAATGCCACTCGTCCTGTGAATGAACATACTGCCATACAGTATTGGACAGTGCCACTCGTCCTGTGAGTGAACATACTGCCATACAGTATTGGACAGTGCCACTCGTCCTGTGAATGAACATACTGCCATACAGTATTGGACAGTGCCACATCGTCCTGTGAGTGAACACATACTGCCATACAGTATTGGACAGTGTCACTCGTCCAGTGAATGAACATACTGCCATACAGTATTGGACAGTGCCACTCGTCCTGTGAGTGAACATACTGCCATACAGTATTGGACAGTGCTGTTGAATTAGACACATGTGCAACTCTTGGGTATCTTTACTGAGGAAACGTTTCGCCACACAGTGGCTTCATCAGTCCATACAAAGGAGAAACTTGAAGAACAGGAGGAGAATGAGGTAATCAGTCCCTCAGCCTTGAGTCGATGTGGTCAGTCCATCAATCTTGAATAGAATACGGCATATGAGCGGAGAAGCAGCTTATAAACCGTAGACAGGTGAGGTGCAGCAGTCGTAGGTGGTGTCACATTTGTCCAATGTGGGAGTAGGTCGTGCTCAAGGGTTAGGCAAGTAAAGAATTCCCAAGTATTAAGATCCCAAGAAGTTGCAGTGTCTGACAGGATTGTAGATGAATGGTTCAGAGAACCGACATGTTGTTGAATTAGACACATGTGCATCTCTTGGGTATATTTATTGAGGAAACGTTTCGCCACACAGTGGCTTCATCAGTCCATACAAAGGAGAAACTGGACAGTGCTACTCGTCCTGTGAATGAACATACTGCCATACAGTATTGGACAGTGCCACTCGTCCTGTGAGTGAACATACTGCCATACAATATTGGACAGTGCCACTCGTCCTGTGAGTGAACATACTGCCTTAAAGACAGTATTGAACAGTACCACTCATCCTGTGAGTAAACAGCCATAAAGACAGTATGGGACAGTACCATTCATCCTGTGAGTGAACATACCACTACAATGACAGTAGATAGACCAAACAGTTGACAAGCTATTGCCGAAATCAACTCTCCCTTTAACCACTGTAACAGCTGTATACAGATTATCCCTCTCTAATCGTAGCAAACCTTGAATATACACATATTTTTTTTTAAATTCTACGAATCTTAATTACAGAAGGCTAATAAAATTTATAAATGTTAATGACATTAATTCCACTTTATTATAGTTTATTTGGTTCTAAGATAGGCAGGCAAAGAGTGTGTTTGTCCTCCTTTCCACACAGACACTGTACACTGGTGGAAGTGTTAAAGTGACACAGGCAAGTTCTAGGGCCATGACACAAAAGCACTGATTAAAACTTCTTTTGAGGAATCATTCAGCCACAAGTTGAATCTTCTGTCCTGAAGAAGCCACTTTGTGGCGGAACGATTCCCTAATAAATGTCTTGATCAGTGCATGTGTGCCTTTTACCTACACACTTTCCACTGTCTCCCACCTTCTGGCGGTGCTGCACCAATCTGTTGCATACACAGGCAGCCTAGAGGAATCCTGGCCGCCTCTGTCTCTACTCTTATTTCCTTCTTACCATAAAGATGCGCAGACTTCCACTCAAGACGCGGTGTTTCATGAAAGAGACGTAATGTTTGGGAGGTCCTCGGGCGCCAAGACCCTCTTAGAAACCACAAACACTGCGTCAACAACTTCATAAAAGACCGCACCACCACAAAGATTTTGTTTGCTTCCGATTGAACCCGTGTTGGAGGGGTGGATCAGATTGAACCCGTGTTGGAGGGGTGGATCAGATTGAACCCGTGTTGGAGGGGTGGATCAGATTGAACCCGTGTTGGAGGGGTGGATCAGATTGAACCCGTGTTGGAGGGGTGGATCAGATTGAACCCGTGTTGGAGGGGTGGATCAGGACACTCCTGGGTGCTGGTGACGCTGCTATAAATTAAAAAAAAAAAATTGAAGAAATGCACCTTACCTTTGACGAGTTTCAATATTTTTTCTACTCGTCTGGTGCCTGCCTAGTCAACCAGGCTCTTGTTGCTTGCCTGGTCAACCAGACTGCTGTTGCTTGCCTGGTCAACCAGGTTGTTGTTGCTTAACTGGTCAACCAGGCCATTGCTGTTTGCCTGGCCATCAACACCACCAAACGGGTCATCACATGAGTGATACAAAAGCAACACAGTTGCTATGACTTATGCAATGGCCCTGGTGCTGTTGCCTGAGTGCTTCCCAGTTCATGATATGAGGATGCTTCCTGTGATGGGCGACGCACTCCTTGATGACACCATCCAACACGCATGTTTATACTTCTGAAGACCAGTTCCAAGGTTATATTCTGCAGCATGGCAGAAAGAAAAGAGTACAGAGAACTGAGTAGACATGCCAGGAATACGGACATTTGACAGTTTGAAACGTAACAAAACTAAGAAAATGATTCGCAAAACAGAGGCTGCAGCTAAGTAGTCTAAAACCTGAGGAATTAAACACACGCAACACCTGGGTATCTTTATTTCGAGACGTTTCGCCAACTAGTGGTAGTTTCCAATTCGATGTAGAGATGATATGCAAAGAGTAAGAGATGAGGTCATCAGTCCCTCAGCCGGGCAGAACTATACACGGAAGACAGTGGAAGATGAGGTGGTCAGTCCCGCAGCCTGAAAGCCAGTGAAGTTTGATAAATCTGATGATTATACAAACTCGTCCATTGTAACTTCCACGAACTGATATATATTCTAGAATAATTTATTTATTTTATTTACTCAAAGTACCCAGCCCAAATTATTCCAGAGGAACAGAAAATTATGGATGAAGAAGAAAGTGACGAGTCTGACAAATATCTGGGAACTGATCGCAAGTGTGGCAAAGAGACAAGATTCCTTTTCCTGATGACGTTTCTCTCAGTGTTGAGCGAAACATCGTCAGACTTCATATTTGTTTTGTATACACGTCATCACCATTTCCCAGCCAAGCTATTGTTACAAGTAACGACTAAGAAGAATGTGAGAAAAAAACACACACACACACACACATTCTCTCTCTCTCTCTCTCTCTCTCTCTCTCTCTCTCTCTCTCTCCACGAAGAAGTGCCGGAAATGAAAGATTTAACAGGGACATATATTGGTGAGAGAAGAAGAGGAGGAGAAGGAGAAGGAGGAGGAAGAGGAAGAGGAGGAGGGGCCAGCCAAGACAGGTTGGTGGAACAAGAGTGAGGTGTTGGATTACAAGCAAGACTGTGTGACCAGCCAGTACACAACACCAACTGTGAGAGAAAGACAGATATAAGGAGTAAGATGAAGGTAAGAAGATGACTAAGATGAGAAGAGAGGAAGAGGAGAAGTAGACTAAGCAACGAAATGTAGGAGAGGAAACAAAGAATAAGAGGAAAAGAAAAGGAAGAGAAGAGGAGAAGGAAGAATAAGCGAAGGAGTAAGAATAGGAAACTGAAAAAAGAAGCAAGACAAGAAAAAGAAGTGAAGGAGCAATAGAAGAGGAAGTGAGGTAGCAGGAGAAGAGGAGAAAGTAAAAGAGAAAGCAGAGGAGAGGAAAAGGAAAAACTAGGAGAAAGAACAGGAGAAAAAATAAAAATAAGCTGAAAAATAGGAAAAGAAACGAAGAAGAAAAGAAGGAAAAATATAAGAAGAAGAAGAAGAAGAAGAAGAAGAAGAAGAAGAAGAAGAAGAAGAAGGATGAAATAATGAAAAAAATAAGTTCATAATGTAAACAGAAACAAAAGAAAAATAAGAAAATTCCGTCGCACACAAAAAATAAATAAATGGAAAAAATGACGACAAAACAGTGAAAATGACGAAAAAGTGAAAAATGATGAAAGTGACTAAAGTTAAAAAGCAACTAGAAAGCCAGAAGAAAGTGATAATAAACCCTAAAACACAGAGAAAACCAGAAGAAAGTGATAATAAACCCTAAAACACAGAGAAAGCCAGAAGAAAGTGATAATAAACCCTAAAACACAAGAGAAAACCAGAAGAAAGTGATAATAAACCCTAAAACACAGAGAAAACCAGAAGAAAGTGATAATAAACCCTAAAACACAGAGAAAACCAGAAGAAAGTGATAATAAACCCTAAAACACAGAGAAAACCAGAAGAAAGTGATAATAAACCCTAAAACACAGAGAAAACCAGAAGAAAGTGATAAACCCTAAAACACAGATAAAGCCAGAAGAAAGTGATAATATGTTGTAAAAGAAAGGAGAAAGCCAGAGGAACAGTGATGAAAGTGACCTGTGAAGCAATAACACAGAGGAAGAAAAACTTTAATATAAGTCTGAACGTCCATGAAGATCAAACAATTTCATGTAAACGTGACAACAAAATCTTAAAAATCATAATTATTAACTCTCTGGGGGTTAACAACCCAGGAAAGTCAAGTAGTGTGGCTTATTTCTTTGTCAGACCTTAGGTCCTCTTGCCCAGGTCACGAGAGACCTGCAACAGTCGACTACCATCTGGGGTACCTATTGACTACTAGGTGAACAGGGTCAACAGGTTTACTAGGAGACTTCACCATTTGTCTGGTCGTGCCTGGGTATTGAACCGGCTTCTTTCGGTTGTGAGCCGAATGCTAACTGAATTTAATGTGAAATTCAACCATAATGAGAACTCGAGGGTAAAGAAAAGACTATAAGAAACAGCCTTCAGGAACCTCAACAAAGAATCATGACTCACGAAATCGGTGCCTCTTGATTCCATGGATCAAGAGCCTTTCACCAGCATCAGGACCAATTTGATATAGCGGTTGCAAGCGCAAATACCTATGTTGCAGGTCACTATAACGACGTCATTACTGACCACAAACTACCCCTCTGGGGACGTACCTGTGACGCACCTGTGACGTATCTGTGACGCACCTGTGACGCGCCTGTGACGCACCTGTGATGTATCTGTTACCAGTTTCCAGAGCTGTCCCACCTTCCCTGACCAGCTTGGGGCTAGTCTACCCCGTCGGCGGCTTGTTAACTCACTGTGGCATCACAACCTAAGTGATCTGGCACTCTGCCCAGCTAGTAGTCCAGGCACTTGATATTTCGTGTTCGTGCTGAACCATCTCCTGTAAAAGCCGTGTTGTGGCTGCCTGGCGTCCTGTGGCTGCCTGGCGTCCTGTGGCTGCCTGGCGTCCTGTGGCTGCCTGGCGTCCTGTGGCTGCCTGGCGTCCTGTGGCTGCCTGGCGTCCTGTGGCTGCCTGGCGTCCTGTGGCTGCCTGGCGTCCTGTGGCTGCCTGGCGTCCTGTGGCTGCCTGGCGTCCTGTGGCTGCCTGGCGTCCTGTGGCTGCCTGGCGTCCTGTGGCTGCCTGGCGTCCTGTGGCTGCCTGGCGTCCTGTGGCTGCCTGGCGTCCTGTGGCTGCCTGGCGTCCTGTGGCTGCCTGGCGTCCTGTGGCTGCCTGGCGTCCTGTGGCTGCCTGGCGTCCTGTGGCTGCCTGGCGTCCTGTGGCTGCCTGGCGTCCTGTGGCTGCCTGGCGTCCTGTGGCTGCCTGGCGTCCTGTGGCTGCCTGGCGTCCTGTGGCTGCCTGGCGTCCTGTGGCTGCCTGGCGTCCTGTGGCTGCCTGGCGTCCTGTGGCTGCCTGGCGTCCTGTGGCTGCCTGGCGTCCTGTGGCTGCCTGGCGTCCTGTGGCTGCCTGGCGTCCTGTGGCTGCCTGGCGTCCTGTGGCTGCCTGGCGTCCTGTGGCTGCCTGGCGTCCTGTGGCTGCCTGGCGTCCTGTGGCTGCCTGGCGTCCTGTGGCTGCCTGGCGTCCTGTGGCTGCCTGGCGTCCTGTGGCTGCCTGGCGTCCTGTGGCTGCCTGGCGTCCTGTGGCTGCCTGGCGTCCTGTGGCTGCCTGGCGTCCTGTGGCTGCCTGGCGTCCTGTGGCTGCCTGGCGTCCTGTGGCTGCCTGGCGTCCTGTGGCTGCCTGGCGTCCTGTGGCTGCCTGGCGTCCCTGTGGCGCTGCCTGGCGTCCTGTGGCTGCCTGGCGTCCTGTGGCTGCCTGGCGTCCTGTGGCTGCCTGGCGTCCTGTGGCTGCCTGGCGTCCTGTTCGCACCATAAAAATCTACTATATTTTGCATTCATTATTTTTTTCCGTTGTAATATACTATAGTTAGATTTTTTATGGATAGGGGACAATCTAACCTAACTTAGCCTAACTTAGCTAATCTAGCCTAGCCTAACCTAACTTAATATAGCCTAGCCTAGCTTAACCTAATTTAGCCTAGCCTAACCTAATCTCGCCTAGCCTAACCTAATCTAGCCTACCTTAGCCTTACCTTGCCTAACCTAATCTAGCCTAGCTTAATCTAGCCTTGCCTAACCTAACCTAGCCTAACTTAACCTAATATATCTGGAGTCTACCTGGAGGGCAATCGGGAGATAAACGCCCCCGCGGCCCGGACCACGACCAGGCCTCCCAGTGGATCAGGGCCTGATCACCAAGGCTGTTACTGCTGGCCGCACGTAGTCCAACGTACGAACCACAGCCCGGCTGATCCGGCACCGACGTTAAATATCTGTCTAGGTCCCTCTTGAAGGCAGCCAGGGGTTTATTGGTAATTTCCCTTATGCATGGTGGGAGGCTGCTGAACAGTCTTGGGCCCCGAACACTTACGGTGTTTTCTCTTGGTGTACCAATGGAGCCCCTACTTTTCATTGGGGGTACCTTGCAATTTGCACCGCCTGCCCAGTCTTTTACTTTAGTAAGGAATGATTTCTGTGTGCAGATTCGGGACCATTCCTTCTAGGATTTTCCAAGTGTAGATTATGATATATCTCTCTCGCCTGCGTTCCAGTGAGTAGAAGTCAAGTGCTTCAAAGCGTTCCCAGTAGTTGAGGTGCTAGATAGAATTTATACGTGCAGTAAAGGTTCTCTGTACACCCTCTAGATCTGCAATTTCACCTGCTTTGAACTAGAGAGAACAAGTGATTTGAAAAGGATCATCATTGGCTTGGCCTCTCTTGTTTTGAATGTTCTCATATCCATCCTATCATTTTCTTTGCAACTGTGATCGTGGCACTATTGTCGTCCTTGAAAGTGAGATCCTCAGACATTACCACTCCCAGGTCCCTCACATTATTTTTTCGCTCTATTGTATGATCAGAATTTGTAGTATATTCAGTTCTAGTTATTATCTCCTGCAGTTTTCCATAACGTAGTTGGAATTTGTCTTCACTGAACACCATATTGTTTTCCGCTGCCCATTGGGAAACTTGGTTTATATCTTATTGGAGATTAACCGTGTCCTCAATAGATGAGAGTCTCATGCAGATCCTAGTATCGTCCACAGTGCTGTGGATTGCATCTCTGTCTATGTCTGATATAAGGATGAGGAGCAGGATGAGGGCGAGTACTGTGCCTTGTGGAACGGCTTTTCACTATGGTAGCTTCCGATTTAACTCTGTTTACCACTACTTTTTGTGTTCGATTGGTTAGAAAGTTGAAGATCCATCTCCCCACTTTGCCAGTCATTCCTCTAGCACGTATTTTGTGCGCTATCATGCCATGATCGCATTTGTCAAAGGCTTTTGCAAAAATAAATAACAAAAAGGCACAATACCGTGACTGGAACGATACACAAATAAACGTCTGTGTATATTACATCTGCATTCTGTTTTTCTTCCAGTGCATCCAAGACTATATCATAGTGATCCAGTAGTTGTGAGAGGCAGGAGCGACCTGCCCTGAACCCATGTTGCCCTGGATTGTGCAGATTTTGGGAATCCAGGTGATTTGCAATCTTGCTTCTTAGCACTCTTTCAAAGATTTTTATGATGTGGGACGTTAGAGCTATTGGTCTATAGTTCTTACCTGGAGGTTACCTGGAGGTTATTCCGGGGATCAACGCCCCCGCGGCCCGGTCCATGACCAGGTCTCCCGATGGATCTTAGCTAATGCTTTGCTGCCACCTTTATGGAGTGGGGCTATATCCGTTGTTTTTAGTGACTGGAATTTCACCTGTGTCTAAGCTCCTTCTCCATAGTATACTTTGGGCACGCGAAAGGGGTTTCTTGCAGGTTCTTAATTAATGAACACAGAGTTCCACGAGTCTGGGCCTGGGGCTGAGTGCATGGGCATGTTGTCAATGGCTTTCTCAAAGTCTATTAGAATTAGGGTAATGTCGGAAATCTGGCATATATCCGGCTTAAATCTAACCTAGCCTAACTTAATCTAGCCTTGCCTAACCTAACCTAGCCTAGCCTAACCTAATCCAGCCTAGTCTAACCTAACCGAGAAATTTGCCGTGAACGTTTGTGAAAAAAACAATGTAAATTTAATATCAGCATTAAGGGGGTTATCCTTGTTCTCTTGTTCTCTCTAGGCTGGAATACTGCTGTACATTAACATCTCCATTCAGAGCAGGTGAAACTGCAGATCTAGAGTGTACAGAGATCCTTTACTGCACGTATAAGTTCTGTCAAGCTCCTTAACTACTGGGAACGCTTGGAAATAAGTTCTGTCAAGCACCTTAACTACTGGGAACGCTTGGAAATAAGTTCTGTCAAGCACCTTAACTACTGGGAACGCTTGAAAGCACTTGACTTGTACTCGTTGGAACGCAGGAGGGAGAGATATATCATAATCTACACTTGGAAAATCCTGGAAGGAATGGTCCCAAATCTGCACACAGAAATCACTCCCTACGAAAGTAAAAGACTGGGCAGGCGATGCAAAATGCCCCCAATTAAAAGTAGGGGCGCCATTGGTACACTAAAGGAAAACACCATAAGTGTCCGGGGCCCAAGACTGTTCAACAGCCTCCCATCAAGCATTAGGGGAATTGCCAATAAACCCCTGGCTGCCTTCAAGAGAGAGCTGGACAGATACCTAAAGTCAGTGCCGGATCAGCCGGGCTGTGGCTCGTACGTTGGACTGCGTGCAGCCAGCAGTAACAGCCTGGTTGATCAGGCCCTGATCCACCGGGAGGCCTGGTCATGGACCGGGCCGCAGGGGCGTTAATCCCCGGAATAACCTCCAGGTATCCCCTTCCCCAGGAGCTGTATTCCCCCTGCGGATTTAGCGCTCACCAATGAATTATATAACAGCCAGGTCTAACCATTACTCTTCCCACACACCAGACTTTCCCCTTACACGACCACAGCCAGAAAGACCTCTCCCACACACCAGAAACTTCCCCATACACGCCCACAGCCAGCCAGCAAGACCACTCCCACACACCAGACTCCACCACACACACCCACAGCCAGCCAGCAAGACCACTCCCACACACCAGACTCCACCACACACACCCACAGCCAGCCAGCAAGACCACTCCCACACACCAGACTCCACCACACACACCCACAGCCAGCCAGCAAGACCACTCCCACACACCAGACTCCACCACACACCCCACAGCCAGCCAGCAAGACCACCCACACCAATCCCACCACACACCACAGCAGCCAGAAGACCACCCACACACAGACCACCACACACACACCAGCAAGAGCACCCCTTCCCCCTCCCGTCTCAATAAAATGTCCAACCGCAAGAAGCCAGACAGACACGCTGGTCCCGCCGACCATTCCTCAGCTGAGACCATGTCTCCCTTCAGTGGTGGCAGCCTGTCACTGAGCAACCATGTCACTCAGTGCCACACAGCTGCAACATACAGTGCCACGCAGCAACAATATTACTGAGTCACGCAGCTGCAATGCTACGCCAGTGTTTGGCATTTCACAGACAACCATATTCTCTTTCTCATTCTCATATCCGATATAATTAAACACATAAGTATCATCATCCTTTCCAGACGATACTAGGATTTGCACGAGAGTGATATCCATTGAGGACACAACAAATTTCCAAGCTGTATAAACCAAGTCTTCCAGTGCTCCACAAATTTCAGTTACTCCGCTATGGAAAATTTGAGGAAATACTGGCTGAAACACAGTATAAAACAACTCGAATCACTTAATACAGATAGGATCATTGTGGCAACAGTCAACAGTGATCATTGGAACAACAGTCAAAGAGTGAGTATTGTGGCAACAACTGCTGATGTAGCA